TCCTTTTCCTCACCTTCACATTCTACAGCTGAATGTAGCTGCAAAATTGACTTCACCCGACCTCAAACACCAATTCAGTTTCCCTCTAAATTTATCGGGGTTAATGAAGTCACATGACTTCGTGTCACGTCACCTATGAACAAATTCAGTTTCTCCTCCAGATTTAGCGGCAAAATTGACGTCTCGGGGCCTGAACAGCAATTCAATTTCTCGCTAAATTTAGTGGGAAATGAATTGCGGTCGAGGTCTCGTGACGTCAATTCTCCGCTAAATTTAATGGGATTTGAACTGGTGTTGAGATAAAGTAACCCCAATTATTCTCTAAATTTAGCGTGGTTATGCCGCCGCCGACGGCGATGGGGACGCCGCGAAACATGGAAACAGGCGCCCATGGTTTGTGCGGTCTTTAATCGCAGCCAGAATGGTTCTTTCGGCAGAATTCTTTTCTTTTTTTTTCTTTTTTTTTTTTTGTAGCGCATAGGGCCTTATAGTTTGCGAAGTCAAGTTTGGGGTAAGTTACCTTGTTGCATGCCCAGCTAAAAGAACGACCCGTAGTTAAAGGGACACTGGCAGGGTATTTATGCCCGCCAAGGTTTTTATTTGTACATCACACTTGAGACCCAAACTAACCAGAACAGAATTTGCGGCTCGAAATTCGGTTTCTTTCCGCCCGAGTACCGCCGACCCACAACTGGCCGGTTTGGGTCGCAGTCACTGTCTTTTCCGTGGTCACGGGCCGTTTTTAAGGTTTAGCCGCAACCACCAAATTTAATCAAAGTCGTAGGCCATCGAAAGCACGCACAGAATATTAAAAATAGAAAAGAAATACGACATATATTTTTGTGCCTTCTCAAAAGCTGCAAATGCGTTGTTTGGGGGGGGGGGGGGGGGGGGGGGGGGGTTGGTGGGGGGGTGCAGTATCACGGCCACGAGACTTCCGCCACCTCTCTGCTCGTCTATATTAATTTTTCCTCCTCAGTCCGTTGTTGGTTTCGGTTTGGACCAGTTGTGTTTCTTTTTTTTTACTTTATTAAAAATATATGAGACACGGTAGCAAAATACTGATTGGGTAGTCTTCTGACACCCTAATGAATCGCCTGGCAAAAAATCAAAAATAAATTTTGGGGAATGTCAGTGTTCATTTAAGGTTTCTAAAATATGGAACTACAATAAACGTTCCAACGACGAGACAGTTAATGAAGCACTGAAGACTTCGACGTGCGGCTGTTGTTGGCTGGCGTCGGCCTAGTAGCCGCCTTAAGCACTATTGGAGGAGTTATTTTTGTATCTAGGGTTCGAGGAGAACGCTCCTCTTGCATCGTGTGGCACTTGTTAAATGATGTGGCAAACCTGAGTGAGTGAAAACATAGCTTTTAAGGAGTGTGATCCCTCTCTTGCCTAGATACATTAAGTGGAAGGGGAGGGTGTTGGACAGTCCTATAAACCCTCGTTCCGCAAAGTAGCATTTCTTTGGAGGGCGAAATAAGTGCCATAGGGAGGCAAAAAAAGAACCCTTGAACTAACTAACGCCTTGCACAAAATCGCATTAGGTCCAACCTAGGCCATAAGGATTGACAAGCTTGCGTCTCGTTAAACTTTTCTCTCGCCTTCGGCCTGCACACTAAACATCATTACAACCTCAAGGGTGTAAATGGCTTGTCCTATAACTAACACCTTTATTGGTGCAGCGAAACGCCCTAAGAAAAGGGTGTTATTCATAACACTTCTAAATGTTAGCGTTAATCCGAACACCCTTGAATAAAGTTGTTATTCCGTATAGTACACTTTCCTATTAGGCTGTTGTGCCTGCAGTACGCCCTCTACATTGGGTGTACCACCGCCGGGAGTGGTAGTAAAAAAGGCGCAATAACCTAATTCCATAAAATAGAATGCAATAACCCAAACGAGTGCACTAAAAATTAATGCGAATGAGTCGAAGAATGCCTGTTTCACTTTTTTTTATGATTTGATCAAGGGTCTAGCAGGTTCTACTAAATTCTTTATAGACGATTGCAAGCAGGTAATCTAGCCGCCGCCATGTCTCTGCTTGTGCGTGCAAGTGCGTGCAATTACAAGCTTACAAAAGGGCAAAGATACCTTCACGCGCACGTCATCAAGTTTGCGAAGGCAAGACTGAGAGATATAGTTTACTTTTGTCTTCGGAATTTCACCACGACCAAGACGCTTCTGAATCAGTGGCGGTCTCTGCGAGTATACTTGCGCGAGGCTAGGACAGGAAAATCTTTGTAAGACCATGAACATGACAACGGGGTATCGTTTCAGGACCCCTTTAAATTGTGCAACCGAGGGCCCTAGTTAAATCTCTAATTTCGCTTTCCACGCAGCATTTATGCTTTCTAGCAATGGTGACGTAATCAAATTAGACAGGCTTCCAAAGATCGGGAGTCGCTTGGGACGCAAGCGGCAGTTCATGTTTGTGAACAGTCAAATGGTTTATTGAGACGGAAGCAGGACTACTATCAGAAGCACGCTTGCAGAGTACATAAGAATAAAACCGCGATCTCGTGTCATCCGTGATAGATGCATAATCCAATTCGGGAAGCCCAGAACAACGCAAAGGCAATGCTGAGAATGTCAACAAAAGTATCGCAGTCTCCGTTGAGCAGCTCAGCTGTCTGTCGAAGCGCGTCCAACAAACAGAGCAGAATAATTCTATAGATTACGACGAAGAAAACGGCCATTACCGAAACGTTGGCATGGGTGTATTCCCTGCTGTTCACGACGAAAAACCACGGTCACGAATGCAACGCATGAGAAGCAGGAGAAAACTATAGAGCGTTCTTCGGAAGCCGGACCTAAGTGGCCCCCACACATCACCGTAACTTGGTAAACTGCGAAGACTACGACCCCAGTGAACCCATCAGCGCGTCACAGCAAGTCACGTGACAAATTTTCGCTCAAGCTTTCTCGCCATACGGAGTGCGGTCCCGTGTTTTGCTCCACCCTTCTGATTCGCTAGAAGCAGCTTCGCACCCGCTCACTGCCACACGAAGGCACAAAAGAAAGTGGAAAGGCTTGTCAGAAGACGAGGTCGAAGGGGGTAGACGAAGCATCTAATCTCCTTCTGCTGCTTTGTGTAGCCCATGAAAGCACCGCCGTGAAAGGACACTCGCCAGTTCTTGCTTAGGGTAGTACATTTTTGAGCGTCTCAAACTGCCACTCATGTAGAAGCCTGCCTGCCTGCTCTGGTAAGGACCGCGATATTACAAAGCCAATATTTAAAAAAAAAAATAATATTTTCGAACGCCCTCGACGCACGGATCAAAGCTAAGACGCTAAGAGCATGAGACAAGAGACGCGGTTTCACGCGTTCCAATGAAGAAACAAAAAACGAGAGAAAAAAGCTAGATATTTTGGTTTCACCCCGCAGACATAATGAGTCGCGTACAATAGTGGGGGTGTCATGAATCCGGCACTTTCGGTAGTCTTGCGGCATATTTCCTTCAGAATTCCACAGAAAGATCAAATCTCAGCGAAGGCGCTATAACCAGTGCTAGGCCAGTCAGGTGAGTTTGTACTTCCCAAAATGAGGGCGCCACAGTCTGTGTAAATCTTCAGCGCATGAGGTTTTTCTCGGGCTAAATGTAAGTAGATTCCGTTTTACTTAAACATGTATATTTTTTTTAAGCCGGATTTGCGGTGGTCAAGAAATAGAAATACCTCTCCGAAATAGCCCAATCGAAAAGGACATCTTTACACCCAACCAAAAACGGCGTCGCGTAAAGTATGTCATGATAGCGTCGGCGCGACCCATCCCATTCGTCACAGATATTGGCTGGACCAAGGTGGTGTCGGCACAATCTTTCCGATTTGAGGCCAATATCGGCGCCATACTGTGTGCTGCCTGGGCAGTATATTTCCACGTCTTCGTTCATTTTTTGCGAACGGAGGCGATATTTTAGACCGAAGTTAAGCTGATAAACCTGATGCACGCGCGACGCATAATTTTCGGCTTGTGCCGAACGGAGAGTTCGATCGGAGTTGCAAAAACTATTTTCTAGCACTTCCTAATCATACGTGACTTCGTGTGGCGATTAATTATACTTGATGTTTGCACCGCCGTATACCAGCAAGAGTTTCACCGAAGCAATAAAATGAACGGCTATGAAATCATTGGTGTATTTGACAGCATCACCATTACGCCCCTTTCACACCCTGTGAATGAAGTGCGAGAAACTCGCCTATACACGCTTTTTACACGAGTTCAGACATCATCGCTACAAGTGTGGAGTAAAAAAAGAGGTGTAAAAAGTGTCAATTCCCAGCCCACCCATCTGACACCCGCCGATATTCGAAAACCGTGCAAAAAGTGTTGAAGAAGAGTGTTTTTTCTACTTACACTTTTTTACACACTTATGAGTGCACAATAATTTACATGATTTCGGACACCATCGCTACAAGTGTGGCGTAAAACAGGAGATGTAAGTGGTGTAAATTGCCGCTACACCGATCTGACACCCACCGGTATTCAAAAACCGTGCAAAAGGGGTGTAAGAAGCGTGTTTTTCCTACTTACACCCTTCTTACACGATTATGAGTGTTACAATATTTAGTGTGTGGGGTGCTTTTCACAGTAGAGAAACCTATCCTCTCCTCCCCCTCCCACCTTCCGACCAGAAAAAAAAAAGAACAGGTGATATACAGGGAAAGAAATGGGGACGAACGTCTAGCGAGCTATTTCTACGCGAGCGCTAAATTATATTGCATGCGGTCAAAAAATGTAAACGTATTTTTTTTCAAACGGCTGAGCGCCATTTGGTTCCTGCTATATATTTATAAATTTGTCGTATGTATTTTGGGCACCTTTAGACTACCGATATAAAACTTTAGCTCTAGTGAGCAGAATCATCTTAACGTAACTCACGTTGAATACATCTAATAAAGCCTTTAAATAACATACTACTGAGCTTTAAAGTGTGTTTGAAGTTTTGATGTAATAACCTTCCTTTCGTGCGAGTAGCAAAATGTGTATATTTCAGCTGTCCAAAGTCCGAAAGAGGACGCAGACAAGTGCAGTCCGGGACTTGGAGAGTATATCACAAGGGTATGCTCTAGCTCTGGCACCACGGTAAGCAGCTGACCTGGCTTGAAAACATGAGTACCTTGGACTGTTAGTCAAGTAGGTAAAACTCTATTGGAAAATTCTGCTCCAAGGACCGGCTCAACAATGAGCTAAATTCTCGATGGGCCTTTCCAATAATTTAAACAAGCTGAATTGCTACCTATTTATTCTACTTTTAGTTCTAGCCAGCTCATTGTGGAGGTGAATCTTTATGCTTCATTCAAGCTTTTTATGTTGTTGTTTTTTCCTGTACATTAAAACGCTTAACTAAACTTGCTGTGATATTTCTGTAGTACGGCATATAACGTGTGCCCTCGTTGCTGATAAAGAGAAGCTTAGACAAGGAAAATTTATTATTTTTCTGCTTTACACTGAAGAGACACACGCCACTAAACACGACTTTAATTTATACATTTTACTGCGTCCAAAAACGAGAAATTGTGTGAAACGACGCTCGATATGTTTTGTTTCTTTTGCATAACCTTATGAAGAGTACATACCTTAAAATATGTAAATGAGGGAAATCTAAGATTTACAGATAACTCAAAGCCTGAGTACCATTTTTATACCAGGAAGACCAATAATGAGAAGCGGATCGAATGAACAGTCGTCTTGGTTTATTAGCGGTCGACATCTGACCTACCTCTGCATTAGGAACACGTTGTTCGCAAGAGTAATAACTTGAAGGTACACTGAAATTAGGTTTGTACGCAATTAGACGTAGCATATTGGTTGTTGGCGTCTTTTCAGACCTCTTAGAGAAGCTAAGTGTCCCAGGCATGTTTCACAGCACCATAAACCAATAAAAAAAGCAGAAAGAGAAGAAAAAGTAGTGGTAATAATCTCAAACAATACAAAGCAAATGGGAACTGTGTATCGCCGCGAAAATGCAAAGACAAAAAAAAAAGAAAAGAAACCTCGGCTGCATTACCAAGCAAAACTAGAGACCATTGGCTGTATGGAGTTCTTGTCTCGAACGGATAAGCAAGGTGGAAGTACAAGTTGCCGCCATTTTTTTTTATGTTGTACCCGGGGGTACTTTACAACAATCACTCACATGTGCTTCCCCGTTCAAGTCAATTCTCTCATAGTGAATTCAAAAGTGTCTAAAATGAGAATGCTGTGCCTTTTTTATTTCTTGATTTCTGTTCTTTTTTTGTCTTTTTCTTTTGCTTGGTAATAGATTAGCAACATATTCCAGCTTTTTTTTATTCTTACAAAAATCAAGCGGATCAGACAATAAAAGCTTCAAATTGGCTGTAGAATCTTTGTTACATAAATATGCACCGGTGCATCAAATTTACTTGGGTGGGCACTATATGTATAATTAGATTACATCCAGCAAAATAAGCACCGTAAGTGCAATGATTTATAATTGTTGGCTAAGTGGTTACGGTTAGATGCAATACACCGTTTTGATTAAGATTTTGTGAAACATTCCTCTTTTAGTTGACTGGATTTTCTGACTGCTCATATACATGTGAAGGAAAAAACATTAACGGTCAAACTTCCTGGACTAAGCGTAATTTGCCCGACGGCTTGCCTTGTGGAAGATGTGGGGTGAGTAACGTCCGAATATACAGACGACACGGCGAAGACTGAACAAATCTGCAGATTTCTTGTCTGCGGCAAATTCAAAAGGATGAAGTTCAAGAACTAAGTTTTCGTGATACCTTTACTGTTACTAGGAATTTCGAGGAAAGCGCTTTGGATTTCCGATGGATTGAGTCGAGTCCTATGCGATTGCTAAAAGACGCGCGCAAAATGCGACCTCTCTTCGATTGCCTAAGCGCAATTTTCCTCACCAAAACAGGACAAAGACGCTAGAAATATGAGAGCAACGAATGGTGTTTGCGTATTTGACGAGCAACGCGTACAGTTTTTGCCAAAAATATTCTATATAATTATATATGGATGATTTCATCTCAAATCGTGCAGGCAAAAAGAGTTAAATTTTTAAATTCGCTGAAAAAAATAAATGTTATGGCGTCGTCTCTAAAAACCAGTAGCCACAAACCGCAAGTTCGTCAGATTTTTTCTTCTCGGCATTCGAATTTTAAACGAGGCCGCGACGGAAAGCAGTGTTTTCACACCCGTCGTGGGTCGGATATTTCGCTCGATCTCCCGCCGTGGATTTTCAGTCCACAATATATTATTTTTTTTCAAGCTCTCTGTAAGCACAGGTAAAAAGCTCTAATACCATAAAACAATTTTAGGCGTTTTTGCTATTTTTCTGTAACAATGTCAAAAACGCCCCCTTGGTTAATTGTTGACGAACTTTAAACAATTAAATACAGGCGATCTACCAGGGTGACATCAATATTTTTATGTCTATGGAGAGCCCAAAACACGCTAATTATATATATTAAAAATGACTCAGCGGTATAAAATATCTTTTGCGGTGTGTTTACGTGAATGTTATGCTAAAACCAAAAAGTACCGATCTTGAAAACGATTTCCTCAAAAAACTCATTTTTTATTTATTTTTTTTTGTTAAAATGTAGATATGATTGCTGTCTACGGGAAAAGTAAGTCGAAAAAGTGTTATTTTGTTTGAATGATCTATATTTAAGCATCAATATCTTAGAAAAATGTGTTTTTACGGCTCGAAACGGAGTTGTGAATTGCGCGTCTTCACTAACTTGGAAATATTTTTGCCTTTTTTCAACGTTCGCACATAAAAATAAAATACAGTAGTTCTACCCTGTTGTATTTATTTATCATTTAACTTTTAGTATAGGCAGCAAGCTACAGTGGGGGGGGGGGGGAGTAGTTCAAATGAGAAAGGAGCGCTTCTTAACAAACCAGCAGACGTCGTAAATATTTAATGTGTAGAAATCGGAAGACGTCGCGTTGATTCGGGGCTCTCATTGGCCTATATGAACGTCCCGCCCTTTCGGAACCAGCAGATGACCAGGACCTTTCGCGCTCGTTGTGTTAGATAGGACGACCCGTGACAGTAAAGCGAGCAGCGCACCCTGTGTCACGAGGAGTGAAGTGGTAGGAATGTGTCGTTGACGCGGCGAACAGTGACGGCCACGCAGGAGGTGTCAGTCAGTCAGAGTATTGCAGAAGGGAAAGCAAAGGAACTGTTGCCTGGGAGGATGAGGACACCACGGCCCTACAATATTGACCGTGAACAACAGGTCTGCCGGCCAAAACAGCGCCGCGTGCGCGCTAAAACCGGTGGCGCGGGACAACAATCCCGCAGGCGCACACACAAAGATGGGCCGGTTCCGCTAGGGATGTGGTGAAATGTTGAAACCACCCATCCGTGCACGCGTGAAACGATACCGCATTTTTGCCCATGCTTCGAGCGCCCTATCCTTGAAACGGCTGTGCTCTATCTTTCTCCGCGGGGAACCAATAGTACCGAAGGGTTTTCTCTTTAGGAAACAGCAAAGCTCGGAGACTAGTTGGGTCGAAGCCAGCCTCCTTGCCAAATATTAGCCCCGAGAGCGAACACAAGCGTCGCTGCGGTCGCCGCGCCCTGATTGGGTGAGGTGTACCGTGACGTCAGGGCGATGACTCCGCTCCGCGATCTCGCATCGGCTCGCTTCCCAGCACCGGTTTCTTGGTTCGGCGTTGTGTGCCGCAAGCTCTTCGAGGTGCTGGACTTCGTTTACCCGGTGTACAGGAGGTTGAGTTAGGCCGATATTGACGTGCTTCCGTACATTTTATAAGCGTGCTTGGCACTTTTACCTTTAAAATTGGGTTACAAATTCCGAAAGCTATCGGCGGAGGCAAGTCCGCCGACCGTCCGTCCACACGACACAAGTGCTCGTGGAACAGGGTTGTTTTACATAAATGTTGCTTCTTCGTGAATTAATGATATAGTTTATACACGAATGCAGGCATATTTCTTAGAAGATGCACAATTACTGGAAATTAGTTTGTATGGTAGCAGCAAAAACGGCCGAATTGCCCCCAGTTGCCTGTATGATATGTATTGAACTTCCCAAAATATGCACAGCAACAGTGCCGTAATTTGGAATGTTTATACGTTTTCCTGGCATTTTTTATTCAAGTCTTGGAAAATACACCATTTAGTCTGAATTGTCATTTCCAATTAAAAGAGACACTACTCCAGGTCCCCCAAAGGCTTCCTCACCCTTCAAACTCCCTACAGCTGGACTTTCTGACAACAGAGGAAAACAGGAGTAAAAGCAAGCATTCGGACGTTTGTTCAGTGTTAGAAGCAGCCCTAGTAGCAGAAAATGTGGAACCTGTGAAGGGCGACAGTCTGCGTGAGAATAGCTTCTGGTATTTTAGCTTCAGGACAATTCGATTTAAGTAAAATATAAATTTTAGGTAATAACGAGCTAGACACTTTCGCTTACGTTTGTTATACATTACTTGAAGGTTGATATAAACAAGTCCACAGATAACACCCGTGTAGTCCATTGAAATACTATCCGAATCCAGCAAAGGTCAAATGCGAGCAGTGTATAAAATAAATGTTCCTTGTTTTTTTTTACTTTGCCCCTGCACTTGGGCTGTCTTACTTGCGATTCTCTCCCCATGGCACAGACTGTATTTAGCATGTTAATCGGGGGGGGGGGGGGGGGGGGAGGGGAGGAGGGGTTACAACCCCGAAACCCTCCCCCTGGGTATAGCCCTACCCAATACTTACGCATTTTTGTGGCGATGATTTCCGCGCTCGCCTGGAAATGATAGCTGCGCTATATGTTGCACGAGCAGCATGCAGCTTTTCTGCTTCGGCGATCTTGTTTAAAAACAGAGATACCAAAAAAATAGTATACATAACCTGCCAATTCATTCAGACCATTAGCAGCATTTATTGTGCAAGATGTAAATCTATAGTGATGCTCCTGCAATTGTGGCCATACTTTATTTTCATATGCCAGCTGTGATTCATGCGTTGCTTGCCCTGTCAACCACGCTAAAAATGTTGCTTGAAGTTTCGCCTGTAGCTACAGGCCATATCTCAATAAAGGCACATTTAAAAATTTACACTTCCTACGAAAAACACGCCCAAAAAAAAAAAATTAAATGGAAAGGAGCGCGCCGACAGCTAGCGTCGTCACAAGCCTCCACAGGGCGAGCGGGGCGAGTCGTGGAAAAATTCTCTCCTCGCCGTGACGTCACCCCGGTTCGCCGTAAGGGGGCGCCACGCGAACTTCTCGGGGCTAATAACCGTTTGTGAAGAGTGGTATTCTCCCGAGATAAAAAGTTGGCGCCAGCTGAGGTGTTCTTTTGAAAAAGGGAAGGGGAAAGAGAAGGCTTCAGTAACTGCAGTAACTACCTCGAAAGCTCCTCTACCGATATGAACCTCGAGACGTGTTACGTCTCGGTTACCTTCTCGCGCATCGCTGCTCGAATCTATTATTCACTCTTTTCCGCACAGCCACTGTTCCGCACAGCCGTCATGGCTGTGCGGAACAGAGTGAAGAACAGATTCGAGCATCATCTGGGCGCCGTCATCCTGCCAGGCTTCAGTGTCGTGGGACTGGACTCGGCGTCGGTCAGTTAAGATTTTTTTTTTTTTTTAATTTCGTGTGTGTTTCGTCACACCGCTGATTTTTGTTTCTTAAGTGCGGTTCTGCTGAACGTTTTTTTTTTTTTGAATGTTTCCTTTTTTGTTAGCATGGTTTACTTGCTGGGTTTATTTCGTCATGGTGTAGCGGCCTGACGGCGCTGTAGAGAGCGTTTTTGTACGAATTTGGTTGTATCTCTTTTAAGGCGGAATGCCCGGAGGAGTTCCTTTTTGTTTTTGCCGTGTACGACTGAGTTTTTCCGTCTTGATTAATTTTTTTTGTTGTTGTTTTACCCCTACGTGTCGTCGACTTCTTTGTTTGACTCTCCACCAGGCGCGGACCAATCGCCTTGCCACCACTCGAACCTAAATCTTTTATATTGTTAACGCAATTTTCGTTAAGATCGGAGTTGGGTAATTTTATTCTTATTTATTTATTTTTAATCCCTGCCCCTCGCCATGACAATCTCTTCGTGTGTTTCGGGTTGTTTTTGTGTATTACGGAAGTAAAAGGGCCATTCCATGGTGATCTGAGCGATGTGCGGTGAACAACCCTAGCATGTGGTTTCTGAAAGAGTTGTATATAATATATCAATGATGTGGTGACGTTCTATGTCTTAGTAATATGACAGCTAATAGCTAGTATGCTAGTTTACTGTGAAAGTTTTATAAATCTAAACAGTACAACGTCTGTGCCTCCTCGATATTGAAGGTCTACTAGGCCTGCTGATTTAATTAGACATGTAGCTCGCGGTCTACCGCTCTTATCAAAACATAAATAACTATTCAATACCACAAATTTCGTTTATAATTGAATACAAAACGCCAACAAAAATTCACGGAAACTTTTTCAGAATTCGTAGAAACGCACGGGTCGCTATGTCTGACTTAGGTGTTGCAAAACCAAGACGTCTATTTTCCGATATTGAGGCTTAAATACAGAACATACAAACAAAATACACACTTTTTCGACTTGCTTTTCGAGTAGACAACTATCATATCTACATTTTAGCAAAATATAAAAAAAAGGTTTTTGGAGAAAGTCAATTTCAAATATGGCACT